CTCCGCCAGGATGCCGTCCGGTCCGGGTACACTTAACGACGATCACGACGCCATCTTACTCTCTTTCAGCTTTTGGGGTACCTATATATTTATTATTATTGTACCTGTACGTTACTACGGAATATTTAAATGAAATAAGTGTATATATAACGGTCCTATCGTTTAGCTTATTCGTGAAAAGAAAAGGAAAAAAAATTGAGAAAAGAAAGAGAGATCAAGATCAAATGAGGTGGTGGCCTAGACAGAGGGGATTTTCTACAGGATTTATATATTATGAAAGTACTGACATTTGAAACAAAGAATTGATTCCCACAAATTTTTCTAGAGTAAATTTGAAGAAAAAAAATTATGAGATCTCATCTCATGTTTTCTTCCTTTGGTTTCCTGTGTTTTTTTTGTGTGTCAATCAAACGGAAGTTTCAAAACTTCATGAATTTTAAAATCCCATAGGAATCTAGTGAACATGACATTTTATTACTATGGTTTTTTCATTAATGCGTGAGGAGGGAAATAAGAATCATCAGTTCTTCTCATTTCCGTTCATCGATCACCAAGTTAATACCAATCTCACTTCAGTGCCAGTGTGGAAATTAATTTACTGTGGTCCTTGTAGCTAAAACAAGTAATCTGTAATTGCATACTGTTTGTTGGTGGTCAGTTCAACTTCAAAATTCTACCCCACTGTTTTATGAATTTCACATGGCATGCTACTTTACTGATGGAATGCTTCTGCATTGTAATAAATGGAAGGCGGGATCAACAGTGTCAAAAGACTGGAAGGTGTATCTTTTTGTAAGTTTTGGAAATTAGGTGTTCGTTGAAGGCTTGGAGTACTGCATTGGTTTTACTGAAGTCGGAAAACAGGTTATCATGTTTAGTATGGCCATGGATTTTAATGACCGAACTATGAAGCTAACTTCTTGTGGTTGATATACTGTGTGAGTGGGGCCTTTATGCAGATTATCAGTCAGTATATCTATTTTCAACTTTCAGATGTGTATGTAAGGGAGTAGTAGTAAAAGTAGAAAATTGTAGAGAATAACTTATGTTCAATCTTTGTCAGTTCATCCATGAATGAGAAGTGCAAAGGGTAAAAAAATTCATAGTATTATATACTCGTACACTAAGAACCAGTTAGCATTGCTATGTGCTTGGGAGTGGAGATTCTCAAATAGAATTTAGTAATTGTGGGTTCTTTTATCTTGTGTTGATATTTATTAGTTTATATTTATTTTATGCTATATCAGTGTGTGCTGAGTTTATTCATGTATGAACTTTGTAATAATTGAATGTAGCTTGCTGAGCAAAGGCCAAAATGTACGTTATTCCATTACTAAAAAAAATGACATGTGATAGTACTACATAAGAAAGCTATCAATATTAGAAAACACTAATTCCATCTAAAACAGCAAGAGCTCTACGTATTTAATAGGATAGGAGCGGAGAAGCTCACAATGATTTTCAGCAAAATGAGGTCTTTTGTCCTCGTTGTAGTCCATTTACTAGCTCACCACCGTCTTTCTAAGAGGATCTCCTAGTTGCAACTACACATCAAACCAACAGAATGGATGAACCATGCAACTGTGCAAGAGTGGTGAGGGAAAACCATCTCGGCACAAAACATGCCCTAGAAAGTACTCTCAAGTCGATGATTATCATAGTCTCCCGAGAGTTGTGAAGGAGAGAAACTCAAGAGTTTTCAGAAATCTCACTAACACTTCAAGATCCATCACGGGCTCATGGCAAGAATTAAGGAGGAAGCACATTTGTGGGTAATGGCGTGGGCGGGAGTGAAGAATCTTTTTTTTGACGGAAAAATGATTTTTTTTTTACGGAAGGGAGTGAAGAATCTAGCAGAGCTATATCTGTTGCAAGAATAATTCCTTTCTTTCTTTGGTCAGGGATAATCCTAACTCCCACGGCCAGTGAATATATAAGACAACCTTCTTACCTTGCTTTTCAAAAAAAAAACAATGATGTTCAGAACTACTACCTCCGACTATAAATATAAGAATTTTTCACTAACTATATAGATAAGTATAAAAATATTATATTTATGAAGAAACATAGTTCTATCAATAAAAAAAATTACAAATATGATGCAAAACAATATAGAATAAATTTCCTGTGTACCCCTGAAAACTCACTCAATCTCTTTCATACTCTCTGAAATTTACCGATCCCTTCTATACCCCTGAAATTTCAGCTTGATCCCTTACATGCCCTTACCATTACATTTTTCTTCATTTCACTATTACGTTTGGTTGTAAGTGTCCTTTTTTATCCTTGATGCTTTAGTTTTGAATATAAACTTGAAAAAAGATTGAAAATTTTGTTTGAGTGCACAGTATATGCATTTTATGAAACTAATGAGACTAAATAATTAGTGTAGAAAAATTTAACATAAATTTTAAAAATAAAACAAATGTAATAAATTAAAATTTTCATTTTAAATTTTAATAGGACAATGGATATTTTTGATCGGAAGCATTCTGTTGACGACCAAATTTGGTAATATATGAACCAGATTCGATATTGAAATCGAGGCGGATTCGGTAGAGAGATGGATTCGAAGAACAGAGCATGCATTGGCTACGAAGGCATCGGCTGGAGTCTGCATCGACTGAGATGGATCGGACAGATAACATCCGACACAGCCGATAGAGGTGATGTAGCCGATTCCGATGATAATGGTTTCAAAGATGTTTCTAGAATCGATCAACGTGTTTCACGAGGATTGCCATGATGGAGATAAAGCTCTCGGATAGGCAATTGTATTTATTAATTAGGATATTTCATGTAATTTCCTTAGAGATATATTTGGGCAAAAGTTTACCGCAAAGACTTATGGTATCTTAGAGTTTGTTAGAGATAAGTGTCGTGTCCGGCAAGGACATATTTTGTAATCTCGGGTATAAATAGAACCCGAACCCATGTAATCAATTAACAATAGTTCAATACAATCTTGGTGCATCGCCACCCTTTTTACTTTCGTTCTATTTCGACGAGTTCTTGCTTTCGGGTTGAGCTACATCGTTTTGATCTTCAACTAGAGGTAAAACTTGTTATGGCAGCTTGCATTGTCGGGATTAGTGCTTCCATCTCTATGACACTCTAATCTTGATTATGTAATCTGTCGAGTTATCATATATACTTTGCAATCTATGTTAGTTGCGCTATATAACTTGTTATCAGTTGGTTCTTATTGTTAGGAAGCAATCGGTAGAGTTATGTTTTGTTATTGATCTAGATTGTATCGTGTATATACCATCTTTTGTAGGTTTTCATCATCTTGTCTAGATCTTATACTTGTCTTTATGCTTAATGTTGCATCGGTTAGGTTCGATCTATTAAGTAATATCTATAATTATGATATCTGGCTTCTTTTATGATTATCAAGAGAGATAGTATCGGGGTTTCAGCCGATCTTACCTAATTTAGCTATTTTATATCTTATATGCTTAATTGATATGCTAAGTCTGCCCTTTATATTAAGATCTTATTGCAATAAAGTATATTAGGCTTTCTGTTTGATATATTCTATTTGTTCTAGTAAATGGTATCGGAGTACTAGCCGATACGTGCTAGATCTATCTGATCGTCTATGCTATAAACATTTATAATCTTTGTATTAATGTATACTTCGATCTAAGTGATTTATACTGTCTCGGCATAGCGACCGATCTATCCCAATCACCTAGTCTAAATATACATTGACAGAATGATTATATAGCGTTAATATCTACAGCCGATCGAGTAGATTTAGTCTTATCTTGCTTATTTATAACAGCCGATCGATTCACATATGACATCGGCTTAAAGATAAATGATATGTCATCGACAACTAGCCGATCGGCTATCGTTTATGGATTTAACCGCGGTTTTTCTTGTCTTTTGTTTCTTGTTGATTGCAAGATCAAATTGACTAGCACGCTTACGAACCTAAAAGCAAGATTTTGGACCTGCACAGGAGTTAAGCAGATCTTCCAGGCCAGTGTGTGTTTTTCGCATCAAAACATTCATAAAAAAATTATTGTGAACATTGGTAGTCCTATCTTTGTATGAATGCTTCTCATTTTTTATGACTTTCTTTTAAAAAATAAATACATATTTTTTTATTTATTTATCTAAAAATAAATTTTGTGATAAATAATGCATCACACAACAAACTCATAACTCTAGTAGTCTTATGCGACAAAATTCTACTGCATTTTTAACAATGTAATTCATGAATTTCTATGTTCATCCAAAAGGTAAAATAGTCATTTTTATTAAAATTAGACAGTCAACTAACGGTTAACTGACGGGAGAAGTATGGAAGGGATCAAAATCAAATTTTGGAGATATATAAAGAAATAAGCAAAATTCAAGAGTATAGAAAGCTAAATTTTAAAAGGTATATATAGAAAGGATTTTCTCAACAATATAGATACAGAGGCGAAGCCACGTGGGCCTTCCCTATGTACAGGACACAGGGTGTTAAGCTTGCTCATCACGCAAATTTTCTCCGCACAACAATTAGTGCCACTTCCCTTCGTCCCTTAAAAAAAGAATTTAATATCGGATGTGATTGTAACATATTCTAGTACTATGTATCTGCACATATTTATATTTATATTTGTAGTAATAGGATGTGTCATATCCAGTACTAGATTAACTTTTTACTGAACGGAGGAAGTATTATACATGCCAAATATGCATATAGGACACTCCATAATTTTTATTCTAGATTCACTGCTAAACACCAGCTAAATAGATGATGCAAAACAACCAGATCAACCAGTGAATAAGGTAATCACTTCTTTACCACACAAAACTCGGACTACATAATACAAATCTACAATGAATGCACACCGTACTTGAGTAAATTAATACTGTTCAACGAACAATCCCAAATCTCTCCCCAAACACCAAACAAGACAGCAGATCGAGGACCGCCCCATTATTTAACAGCTCTCATATGCATCTGAATTCTGTAACCCGCTGCGGGCAACGGCCGGACGTGCAATCCACCAGACCACCACCGAAACCGCCCCTGTGGTCACACTCTTCCTGCAGGCGCGCGCATGAACACGATCCAAGGCGGCAAGCCGGCCTAGCTACCTCCCGGCCGGGGCACGTAAATGCGGCTCCAAATCAACCAACCACCTCGCATCATTCACCGCATTTGCCAGTATCTCACCTGGCAATTTTTTTTACCTTTGCTGCAAAACAAGTTGTTCGTGTGTCGATCGAGCCAGAGCTAGCCAAGGCCTCTATAAAAAGAGGGATCGATCTACCCAGCTACTACTCGAGCCACTGGCACTAGTGGACTAGTAGAGCGTGCATCTTGATCACAGTAAGGACAGGTAGAGAGTCAGCAGTGCTTCTCACGTCCGCGAGCGAGAATGGTCGCTGCTCTCGTCGTTCCTCTCCTCGTCGGCCTATTGGCTGTGGCTGCTGCACCGGCGCCGGCGTCCGCGGAGCGGGCCTTCTTCGTGTTCGGCGACTCCCTCGTCGACAACGGCAACAACAACTACCTGATCACCACGGCGCGCGCCGACGCGCCGCCGTACGGCATCGACTACCCGACGCACCAGGCCACGGGCCGGTTCTCCAACGGGCTCAACATCCCCGACATTATCAGTGCGTAGTACTTTAACTCCTGCATATTTCAGAAACAGTGTGTCGACACGTTTTGCCGAAGAGCTGACGACCATGGGCGTTTTCTTCAGGCGAGCATCTTGGGGCCGAGCCTGCATTGCCGTACCTGAGCCCTGAGCTCCGAGGGGACAAGCTGCTCGTCGGCGCGAACTTCGCGTCGGCCGGCGTCGGGATCCTGAATGACACCGGGGTGCAATTCGTACGATAAAAAATGCTCAATTCATTTCACTTCAATTCACGGCCGTCATTGTGTTTCCGTGTTTCTTCTCAAGATTTTCATGTGCAACCATGTGGGTGTTTGTGCGTGAACACAGGTGAACATAATCAGGATCGGCGATCAGCTGCAGTACTTCCGGGAGTACCAGCGCAAGCTAAGGGCTCTGGTCGGCGAGGAGCAGGCGAAGCGGATCGTGAATGGTGCTCTGGTGCTCATCACGCTGGGAGGCAACGACTTCGTGAACAACTACTACCTCGTGCCCATGTCCGTGCGGTCGCGCCAGTACGCCATCCAGGACTACGTCCCGTTCATCATCTCCGAGTACAGGAAAATCCTCTCGGTAATTAAAGTGCACGAGATCGCCTTGTGGCAGTAGCAGTAGTAGAGTAGTGTACTAGTTCACGACCTACCACCGCGCAACTGTCAACTCAATTGGTGGTTGTCACGCTCACGCACGCGCTGACACACCGGCTGCTTGCGCGTGTGCGTGCAGAGGCTGTACGAGCTGGGGGCGCGGCGCGTGATCGTGACGGGGACGGGGCCGCTGGGGTGCGTGCCGGCGGAGCTGGCGCTGCACAGCCGCCGCGGCGAGTGCGCGGCGGAGCTGACGCGCGCCGTGGACCTGTACAACCCGCAGCTGGTGAACATGGTGCGCGGCCTCAACCGCGCCATCGGCGCCGAAGTCTTCGTCACCGCCAACACCAACCGCATGAACTTCGACTACATCTCCAACCCCCAGAACTACGGTATATACGTGCTCCCGCGACGGCGGCGACCGTTTGATCGATCGAAGCCGAACGCCGAACTTGACTGATCTGAACCCGTTGATTGCTTTGGCAGGTTTTACGAACGTGCAGGTGGCGTGCTGCGGGCAGGGGCCGTACAACGGGATCGGACTGTGCACGGCGGCGTCGAACGTGTGCGACGACAGGGAGGCGTTCGCGTTCTGGGACGCGTTCCACCCAACGGAGAAGGCCAACCGCATCGTCGTCGGCCAGTTCATGCACGGCTCCACCGAATACATGCACCCCATGAACCTCAGCACCATCCTCGCCGTCGACGACGAGGAACGGCGCCTCTAGATAAATAGATAGATATGTACACCGATCATCGATCGATCGTCAGGACTATACTAGTTACCATCAATGGCACGGAGTATAATACACTCTCCACGTGTAACAATTTCAGTTGTTTCTAGTGTATCTGTTGGCTGATTTCAGAATTGTTGGTGCTTTCGTGTTGTAGAGAAAAATGGACTACTCCTACCTGCATCGAGACAGTAGCGCTAGCACGAACAGGCGTGAGCCAGCTTCTAACGCAAACCAGAATTTGAAATTCCTTTCCGTTGCAATCATCCACGGCTCATCTCCTCCGCCTCCTCCTCCTCACCTCGAGACACCAGAGGCATTATCCGCGCGCGGCTTCTCCTGCCATTCCTTCTCCCACCTTCGTTCCCTCGCGAAGCAGCCGCTCCTCTCTCTCGCCATCTCTCCGACTCCTCCGGTCCAAATCCCCCCCCCCCCCCTCCAAATCCGGTTCCACCAACCAGCAGTAAGCAAGCCTCTCCCTCTCCGCCTCTCGTCTTCCTACGCTGCGCGCCTCCGCCCGCTCGGTTCGTCCGCGAGTTCCTGATCGTGATCGAGCCGGTTCGGCTCCGATCGCCGGCCGCCGCGCGCAACGTGTTCGACGAAATTCCTCGGCGGCGGGGCTACTCACCCGCGATCGCTCGATTTTTCTGCAGGGACCGCACGCGATGGCGGCGATGGGACATCTCGGCGACCCGTACGCGCTGCGCTCCGTCGCGGACCTTCCCCCGCCATTCCGCTCCGTTTTCGGGTTCAGGTGCGCGCGATGCATCATCGCATTTGCCAATATCAAACTCCGTGGGCCGCGGTTACGGTGTTTGCACGGTGCATTTCTGTGTAGTTGTATGATCGCGCTCACACATTCAGTAGATTGAGATTTTGAGTAGCCTTGTAGTCGTAGTGCATCAGGCTAACAAAACACTTCTGTGGAATGTGGATTACGGTATGAAACGTGGAGTAGCTGGGATGGGGTTTTACAGTGGCATCCTGCGTTCCGTGCAGGTATTTCAATTCGTTGCAGAGCGAGTGCTTCCCTGCATGCTTCCTCTCGGATGTAAACATGGTTATCTCTGCGCCTACTGGGAGTGGCAAAACCGTGCTGTTCGAGCTCTGCATTCTAAGGCTTCTCTCAAGGTTCCTCTCATCAGAGTGGAGGTTTAATTTGATCAAAGGAACCCTGAAAACAGTATGTGTCAAGTACCTTCTTAGCTTTTCTATACACTTTAGGGATTCACTTTGTATGTTGAGGATACGAATGTCTAATTTTTACCATGTGCTTAATTTGAACTGCCTGGTAGATCTATATTGCTCCAATGAAGGCGTTGGTGCAGGAGAAGTTGCGTGACTGGAACATGAAGCTGGGCTCGTTGGGGATCAGTTGCTTGGAGATGACTGGTGACAATGAATTCTATAACACCAAATCCATACATGATGCTGACTTAATTCTCACAACTCCTGAGGTATATGTGACTGCTTGCTTTGCTTTACACGGTGTAAAAAGAGGATTGGCACAACTGCTAGCCACTTCCTTGTTTTTTAACCAACATCTTTATGTTTGCAGAAGTTTGATTCTGTGAGTCGTCATGGAATAAGAGATGGTGGACTGGGTTTCTTCAGTGACATTGCTCTGGTCCTTATTGATGAAGTTCATCTCCTCAACGATCCTCGTGGAGCTGCCCTAGAAGCAATTGTCAGTAGAATAAAAATGCTTTCTCGACTTGGCACAATGAAGATTGCTCCTTTGGCAAATGTTCGATTCATAGCAGTTTCTGCCACTATCCCTAATATTGAGGATATAGGTTGGTAAACTCCAAGCAGTATGGTCCCAACATGTCTCTATTTTATTTACATTACCAGATTATGTTCTGTTAAAGATTACTTACGTTTTGGCTTTGCTTGGATCTCAGCGGAGTGGCTTGCAGTACCGTCTGAAGGAATAAAAAGGTGATGAGAAGCAACTTCATCAAGGATACCACCACTAGAACTTCCTTATCTATATATTCCTTTTGCAGATTTGGAGAAGAGATGAGGCCAGTGAAGTTGACAACCAAGGTTTTTGGTATGGTTCTTGTTTCTCATCATATTGCAAATATTTGGCCAAAGCGTAAGAATTAGGACATTTGATTTACTTATTATGTCAAAGTGAGAAGAAACTGTGTCATGAATACCTCCATCCTACACCTGCAACTTCCTCACAGAATCAGTCATGAAATGATGTTCGAATAGATCATTATTTTTGTTTTACTCCACAAAATCATGAACTCTTGAAAATGCCACTTTGATTACTTAGCATGTCCTGACAGCCTTACAACACTTAAACCAGCAATTTATATGTTTGACCTAATCTATATCTGTTTCACTGTGCTATTTAGGTTATGCTCCAGCAAGAAATGACTTCCTGTTTGAGAGGGTATGCATTTTCTTACTATCTGAGAATGTTCCTTCTTTAAAATGAGAAGGGACAATTAGGGCGTGTGCTAAGTCAGATGTCTTCTTCATCTCCTTGAGCTGTACTACTGTACTGATAATTTGTGCATAATCACTGAATCGAATCTGATATATTTATTTTCTTTATTTCTTTCTACTTGTAGAGACTCCAAAGTTTCATTTTCGGTAAGTTACATCTACCTATCTGTCAATTGTACTTTAAGTTAAGTTAGCAGAATTTCAGGATTCAAAATAAAGGATAATATTGATACAGATATACTGATGCAACATTCAAGAGGAAAGTCTGCACTTGTTTTCTGTTCTACTAGAAAAGGCGCACAAGAAGCAGCACAGTGCCTTTCACAAACTGCGAGTTCTCTAGGCTATTCAAATCCATTTATGAAATCGATGCAGCAGTATGAACATCTAAAGGAGGCTGCACTAACCTGTAGCGACAAGCAGTTGCAGGCTTGTCTCGTACATGGAGGTCATGTTGAATCTTGTTCTCGACCCACGATACCTTCACAACCTACAATGGTTTCCCATGTTTTGATGTGTTGCCTAACATTACACTGATTGGTGATGCATATCTTATTTCAACTTTTCAGTTGGTTATCACAACGGTGGTCTTTGCCTAAAGGATAGGAGTGTCGTTGAGGGACTTTTCCTGAAGGGTGATATTCAAATTCTTTGCACGACGAATACTTTGGCACATGGGATCAACTTACCTGCTCACACAGTGGTGATAAAGTCAACACAATTTTTGTGAGTTCATTTTAAATATTCAGTGATTGAGTTAGCCTCTATCATCTTAATGATTTTTCTCTGATATTCATTCTATTTTTCAGCAACAAAGAGAAGGGTCTGTATGTAGAATATGAGAGATCCATGGTTCTTCAGGTATACATACTATCATGTCTCATTTCCACCAGTAAATACATCATTGTTGATATGCAATAATATTATTCAGTTTTGCTTCATGAAAGTATATGTGATTTTGTTATCTTTGATGTGTAGTCTTAATGCTACTCCCTCTGTTCCATATTGTAAGGTGTTTCAGTTTGCCCTAAGCTAAACTTCTCTAACTTAGACCAAATTTATAGAAAAATGCACCCACATCTATAATATCAAAATAGTTGAATTAAATTCACCATAAATTATGTCTTGATAATGTATTTATTTGGTATTGTAGATGTTAAATATTTTTCTATAAACTTGGTTAAGTTTATCGGAACCAACATATACGCTGTAAAGTGCATGAGAACATAATCTATCATGACCTTTCACTCTATACTTATACAATAACTTTTTGCTTGGGCGGGTGTTATGTTAAGTTGGTTATGACATACTTATTGCCAAAAGTTTATTATTGGAATAGTTATTTATGAAAAAAGAGGTATATCAGATGTTCTAAATTTCATGCTGCATATAAGTTCAATTGTTTATCATAAAGCAAAGTTGATTCTGACATACTTATTGCCACAACATCATATCGTTTGATCCTTTTCTTTGACGAAAACACATCATTTGATCTTATATCTGCAAAACACTTGAAATTGGACGTGCAAATTTCATGCCACATACTAGTTCAATTATTTATAGTGTAATGTGTAAGATCATATTTTTTTAATTAAAACTAACATGCATTTAAAGCATTGTAGTTCAGAGCATTTTGTGATTCAATTATAAAATTATACTATATGGTTTCCTCTTGCTTCTAACAATGCCCCTCCCCTTATTTGGGTGATCTACAGATGTGTGGAAGGGCTGGGCGTCCACCATTTGATGATACTGGAACAATTATAATCATGACAAGAAGAGAGACAGTAAAGGATCTATATTTTCCACTCTTGTTAACTCTGAGATATTTTGATACCATTATTGGGCAAAATTGGCTCTATAGGTCTTTTGTGCTAACCTGTTATATCTTGTAGGTGCATCTATATGAGAACCTTCTAAATGGATGTGAGATGGTGGAGTCTCAGTAAGTGTTTTATGTTCAACTGAAAACTAATAATTTCACCTAGTTGACTTTGACATGGACTGCATACCATTTCAAACTTCTCGCTGAGTATAGATGCTATGACCAGGTTACTTCCATGTGCGGTTGAGCATCTAAATGCAGAGATTGTTCAGCTGACGGTGTCTGATATAACTTTGGCTATTGAGTGGCTCAAGTGCTCGTATTTGTACATCAGGATAAAGAAGGCATGGGCAAATTAGTATTATTAAATCTTTAAATCCATTTCGCTTAAATGCATAAACTGACTTTGACGAATTGAATTACCAGAATCCTCAGCATTACGGAATTAAGAAAGAAATTCCACGTGAACTTCTTGAAAAGCAAATGAAAGGTATATCTTTCTTGGATTTTGTAGAATTCATGGTTCTATGGGATTTTGATCGTTATGAACTCAATTTACAGATATATGTGTTGAGAAGATCCATGAGCTGGGGGAGTATGGTCTAATTTGGACAGATGAAGATGGTTTCCTTCTAAAACCATTAGGTAAATTTTCTATTTTTTTTATTAAAAAAATGATGATACAAATTAATACAGGTCTATTGGTACAAGCTTACGCTATACAAATTGAAGTTTAGTCTTTTGCCAATTCCACGCTTCTGCAAAATAGTTTGGCTTTAGTTGGAAAACGGTGTGTCCTCACTTTGTGGTACGCCTTGTGTGTTTCCCATCTGCACACCTACCTACATTGTGGAAAGTAGGCTTTTGATGGTGTGCCCACTAGCATTGCTTAATATCTGTGGCTTTTGTGCAATTCAGTTTTGAGGAGAGAATAGAAGCACTACCATCTATAGTATCCACCAACCTGATCCATAGCAAATCTTTCTATTAATTTGGGCTAAATACATTACAGTTGTTCCTTTGAACTGGATTCGTTGTATAGTGCATGTCAAAGTGTCCAAAGGATTCAATTCCGAACCACATCATTGTATCTAAAATACATTTAGGTAATAGGCCTAGATTTGACTGGGGATGGAAAATGAGCATTACACTATGGACAACATGCATTTCTTCAACCTGTTTCAAGTACGGAGTTTGAGCTTATGATTGGTGTGGTGTTGAGGTTTTCCGAGTTCCGACCTCAGCAACCTTAACAACTAACATAGACCAGTGCTTCAATATCTGAGCTGTAACATTGACAGCTATTCAGCTAGCTCCAATACATGCTTGAATATCTGGGGTGCGATCGTTCAGTCTTATAGTTCAAGTAGATAACATGAAATATCTGTGTACGTTTTCTGATCATGACCTTAACAGCTGACACTAAAATGTACACCGTCTTCTCCAAATTTAATGGGGTTCGTTTTTGTAAGAAGTTCTGCTGGCAAACATGGCAGGTCCTTTGACGGCTGGGTATTCAACTTGAAGCCTACTTCTGTCCCATAACTTCAATAGTTTTGTTACTATTCTTCTAGTGTTTCTCGTTCTGTTTGCCCATCTGTTCAACTCCCTTGCTACTTAGATGTCTCCTCAGCATTCCAGTTACTCAGTTCATTTGCATATTAAAGATGACTCTTCTGAGATATATATTTTCTACTCAGAACCTGGGAGGCTGATGACAAAATTCTATCTGAAATTTGATACTATGAAGCTTATTGTCAAAGCTTCTGCCTGTTGCACTTTGGAAGATCTGTTGCATATCATCTGCCACTCTGCAGAGATTACTTGTAGGTAACTCCAGTTTATTCTAATTAATAATTAAATATAATAAATTAGCGATTTGATTTTTTTTCTGTAATATCAAGGGATCCAACTACGACGAAATGAGAAGAAGCTCCTTAATGAGATAAATGCTGACAAAGAGGGAAGGCTTTGGTTCCATGTTGTTGGTGCAAATGGGAAAAGGAAGAAGCGTATTCAAACAAGAGAAGAAAAAATATTTATTCTGGCAAATGATTGTTTAACTGGGGACCCTCTAGTCCATGATCTATCTCTCAACCAGGTAATTTGTTTGTCCAGTTCAAAATACCATTTGATTTTGTCACCTATTCTTTTGACATATTTTAATTTTTGCGATTTGATGCAGGAAATGAATTCAATATGCTCAAATGGATGCAGGGTTGCCAAATGCATGAGAGAATATTTTATATACAAAAAGAATTACAAGTCTGCCATAAGTTCTATGCTCCTTGCGAAATGCTTACACCAAAAACTTTGGGAGAGTAGTCCATTTTTGCTGAAGCAATTGCCTGGAATTGGAATTGTCACAGCAAAGGTTATTAACTTTATTATCTTTATTGGGTATGTAATTATGTTTATGTATCTGCAGTCTGCATAATTAATGCTTGAGGTTATCACTGTCATCCCAGGCACTGAAGACTGCTGGAATTGATTCTTTTGAGAGTTTGGCAACTGCTGATGCTAGGAAGATAGAATCCGTAACAGGACGAAATTATCCATTTGGAGATAGCATAAAAAGTTATTTGCCATCATTAGGCCCCAAAATTGATATAAACATAGAGGATGCTGGAAACAGACAGGGAAAATCAACAATTATTGTAACACTGACTCGCCTATCACAGGCAGTAGGATCCAGTAAACAAAATTACGCTGATATGGTACCCTCTTTAACTTTATTTTGGATCAATTGACACTCTTGAAACCTAAATTTTTACATGATTTTTTGTCAGGTTGTGGGATCAGAGGAAGATAATGCGATCCTCTTTCATGAGAAAATAAAGTCAGTGGTTTTGTTCTCTCAGTTGATATCCTTTACAGTATATTACCTGTCCTTTGCTGTCTATTTCCTCTCCTGATATTTGCTTATCTGTTTTTCTTGTGGTGGTTGCTGCACCATTTCTAATTCTTCTGTGAAGGACTCAAGAATTTTCCAGGTAATATTTCTGTTGTTATTTCAGTTAATGCTTCAATCCTTCTATAGAAAGTTAAAAGTAAATGATCTTTGATTGAGCCGTTAAAAATAATGAGAAAAAGAAACAGATTTGTCATCAGATTCGTAGTACTAGGAAGTGTCACATCCCTCCAAAATCCCTTATATTATGGGACAGAGGGAGTATTTAGCTGCATTCTCAGCTCGGACGTCTAAGTTGTAGCTCAGCTGTTCACAAATACTCTTAACTGGCTAATTTGAAAATTGCAGTCCATACTCTGTCAAACTGTATGTCCCATGCCCCCCAAATGCCAGGGCTACTCTGAAGGTTGACGTCATTTTTGAAGAATATGGTAATATTACCATTGGGGAACTATAGATCAAAAAATGAAATTTTCATCTATAATGTGTACGATTTTATGCTGACATAGTTTATATCTTTAATTTTATGTTCAAGTTGGTCTTGATATCCACAAGAAGCATGTGGTCAGCAGGGAAGATTTTCATGTGACCAAAGTGTTTGGGATTAAAAAGGCAGAACCCTTGTACAATCTGCCTGCAGAGAGCTGTTTGGTTAGCTCTAAAACAACTCGGACAAATCAATCTAAGTATCATAATGGACAGAACCCACTTTCTAAAGAGGTATGTGTTATAGAAGATGATTTTAGGGCCAAAGCTCCAGACAAAGATGATAATGATCTGGAAATTCTGGGAACAAGAGAGTACAACAACTTAGCTTCACTGTAAGTGCTTAACCTTCTCTACATTGCCAAGGATTCCATAATCAGTGCAGAGAAAATAGAACACCTATCCGGTGGCTATCATTCTACACACAGACTTTTTTTTTTATTTAATTTTCTGCAAGGATTGCAATATGTCACCACAGAATTGCAATAGATCACAGCTATTAGTGAAATTTCTAACATGTATTCGTCATCCTTGTAATTATTTCTTTATTTATAACCATTTTTTCCGAAAGTTCTCTACTATCTGAATATAGAATATAGCGTTCTAACTTCTAAGGTGATATTTTGATGACTACAGGGAGGCCCCAAGCTTTACTCTACTGCATGAAGAAGATTATGAAGGTAACACAATTCTATATGACACTATGCACATCTATTGTGTTTCATTTGTGCTCTTGCATGAAAATTTGTGTTATCATGTTCAGATGTTCCAGATGTATTGGCTTCTGAACCAGTAGAGGCAGAATGCAAAAGTGCCACCAACAACACAATTTTTGATCACATACGCAAGAAATCCAGAGATTTCCCCAATCTAATGTTGTCGAAATCCATGGATAGTTCTTATGAACCTTTGATACTGAAGAAAATGAAGACATCGGGCGATCAGTTTGGACTAGATCAGAGCAGTCTGCATGCATATGAAGTCACGCCTATGGTCTTTGATCGTACTGAGGCTAGAGTCTCTCCAAACAATACAGATGAGAGGTGCCGCAACATCCTGACCAGAACTGCAGAAACTAGATCCTTTCAGTTTACGGGCAAAATGGACAGTATATCTCAGAAGAGCGAGATCCTGAACAGAACTCAAGGCAAAAACTCTACTCAACTTGCGGGTAAAAAAGCATTTGAAAAGAGCAAGACCCCAGATGAGAATTCACTTCACTTTGTAGGTAAAAGGGACAGCTCGTCTGAGAAAAGCAAGGCTCTAAGCAAGACTCCAGATGAGAATTCTCTTCAGTTTTTAGGTAAAATGGACAGCTCATCTGAGAAGAGCAAATTCTGCTTCAGCAGTCCTCTTGCAGATTTCCAGCCTATGCAATGTACAAAGCAAGTTGCAGCCTCAGTCCAACCTCTCACGATTCAGGATTATTGCAAGGATATTTTGGCGAGTGCAAAGAGCAGTGGGACTGGCGCATCTTTTCTTGACGTTAAGAGTGTCTTCTCATTTCTCTGACCCACAGTGGCGATCTTGTGCAGCATACCTTGAAATGCCCGAATATGTATTGTAATATGCCAGATGCTTAGCGAAAAATCTTCCCGAGGACTAAGGTTTCAGCTTCGCATAAATATGTTCAGCGCTTCAAATGCCTTTCTATATGTAATGCATAGTGCTTTCACTCGATGTGTTTAGTAAATCTTGCCCTCTATATTTTCCTCCAGTATCCAGTACTCCCACGGAACAAAATGGGTAATGGAGAAAAAATAAGTGCATATGCCTATGTGTGGTACATGTACAAGCTGTTATTAGCTGCACAAACTATGAAGTTTTCCATCGGGTGCCAAGCTAAATGTGTCACCTTTGATGTCATGTTACATTTAGTGTCCTCCCGGCCGTCAGATCTTGGTCCATCTTGACCTGCAGGGGAAGAGAATTTGCAGAGCACACGCTAAAAGCTTCAGTTCTAAAGTAGAGGCGTCACTGAAAGAATGCACAAAGACACATTAAAAGAATAACTTGATGAATTATTCGAACCTTTTCTCTGGATTCCGCGAGCAAAATTGCTGAGCAACCCTTGACTCTTTGCAGAGGGGAATGATTGTATCCTGAATTCTTCACCGTATTAGATCAGCCTTGCTAAATTTAAGTCATTTGGCAGCGTCAAAGCGACAGTAAAAGAACAAAGCTAAGTACCTGTAAGGGTTCGTGCTAGCTTCCAACGTAGTTCCGTTGGGATTTGCAGCAGCACGAGAGAAAATTTTGAATGTATTGCTGAACACAAAGAACCACGAGATGGATAAGGATGGGCACTAACAGTATAGCCTTATACTCCAGATATGAGGTTGATGTGTTGCAGCAGTAGAAACCTGTAAGATCCAGTGGCGAAGTAGTCCCCGCCCTTGCTGGAGCAGCAGCTGAACCTGTCGAAAATGCAGTCGTTGTTGTACAGCTCCGACAGCTGCAAAAGAATTCTTAACTTCTTGTGTTGTTGTGTTCTGACTGACACAGCTGACCGGGCGATGTAAGACAGTGAAATGCTTCTGTGCTGGATAAATGATGTACCTTAGGACGAAGGAACTCATGCACCTTGTAAGTTGCAACAGGGGAGCTCTCCACGCGCAAGTCCCAGAGCTGCAAATGGCGAAGTTAACTGAAGTTATTCAGGAACACTGAAGGTTTCAGTATCCAACCATCCATATGACACGCTGCCTGTACACTTGGACCTTTTTAGAAGCCATGTCAAGTGGAATTCAGAATACCTTCAGGTTCATGTAGTCTCGAGTTAGCAGATACTTCCCATCTCCGGTGAACTTCACATCGGAGATGCAAGAGATGATCTCGGTGAAGAGCGTCCTAGGCTGCACGCTGTTCCCACGATCCTGGAATCTGAAAAACAGTAACGAACCATTTTGCATTTTTCAGAGAAAAAAAAAGAAAGGTACAACATCAGCTAATTAATTAGCCAGCCTCTTACATTCTGACGTTGCGGTCGCACAGCGCCGACTGCCGCAGGTCGACCAGCCGGACGAAGCCCCTCGAGCTGCCGAAGGCGAGGAGGCTGCACGACGACGGGTGGAACTCTGCCGAAGTGATCACCTCTGATCGAAAAAAAAAAAGGCAACAGTTAGTGTTCAACCCTTCGGTTTCGCCGTTCATTCATGACTTCTTTTATTATGCAGTTATATGCGGGAAGCTTGAGTGGACGTCCACCCACTTATTGCATGTTATTTAAATGATTATAAAAAAAATTAAAAAAAATATGAACAAGATAGATCAATATGTAATATATCAATTCACAAACATGTAAGTTAAAATTCAACTTCTACAAATTATAACAAAAATAACAAACAAAACTCAAATTACTGTATGTATATTTACAATTAAATTTGTTATTTTTGTTACAACTTATAGAAGTTGAATTTGAACTTACATGTTTGTGGAGTGATATATTACATATTGATCTCTCTTGTCAATTTTTTTGAAAATTTTCCGTAACCATCTAGCTGACATGCAATAAACGGGTGGACGTCCACTCAAATTATTAGAATCCATCTCTATGTATATGCAAACTGTTTTTGAGCAAACAAATGAAACTAAATCACCTACGAGATCCTCCATGTCCGCGGGCTTCATGTCCACGACGTTGAAGCACTGGTCCGTCACCTCCAGGTGCCACAGGTTGATCCTGAGGTCGTCGGCCGACACGAACGTCTCCCCGTCACTGCACACATGAAAAAGAGAACAAATCTACATTATGACCTCGTTAATTCTCAGAGTTGAGACAGAATGGCATGACACAGGTTGTAAACTTGTACTGTAATAGCTGGATCAACCAACCTACCAGTTGTTCGAAATGGAGTTGATGTTGTACACATGAGCACGGGCGAACACTCTCCGGCACTTCGCGGTATATCCTTCTCCAACCTCACTTGCCTGATCACACATGGTTACACAAAAGGCACAATTCAAACGAGTTCAACCGAAGATTCCAATGCTGCAGATAGAACATTACCTTTTCGGAATGTTCAGCCGAATCAGGGGACAAATAGTTCCTAGCTTTCTTGCTCGCCCACTCGTAATAATACCCATTTCTTACGCTCGAATCACCCTCCCCGAGCAGCGCGATCTCGGACAGCGACGCCGAAGTCGGAGTGCTCCGCCGCCGCCGCGGCTGGCCGTTCCCTTTCCTCGACCTGTGTTCGGAGACCTGCCTTGAAGCTATAAAATCATTACATTCTAGCTACTAATCCTACAGAAAAGAAGAGCTTGAACTATCAACAAGGTGATCTCAATGCCGTGTTCGATCGATACATATACCTTCCAGAGCTTGACGGTGCGGTCGTTGGTGGCGAGCATGGACAGCGACGAGCTGTTCGGCCGCGCGCACCATCTCAGCTTCTTCACCTTCTCGCCGATCTCCAAGCTGTGCAGAACGTCGAACTGTGTACTGCCTACTGATCAGTAAGAGTGTACTACGATTTGCAAATGTCGTAAGCCGTCTCGATCGATGGGTGACTCGCTCACCTCCTGCTCGTGGCTCTGGAACTCCGCCATGTAGGCGTACGCCGGCGGCGCCGCCGCGGCGTAGTCCGTGCGCTCCAGGTCGGCGCGAGACGGCGGCGGCGGCGGCTGCGGGGCACAAGAATCGCTGGTCAACAGCCCGGCTCGTGCTGCAGGGAACCATACTGGAATAGCTAGCTTTGAGATATATTGCTGTAATTTACGTGGCTCTCGTCGTCGGTTCTTCGGAAGAGGATGACGCGCCCGGCGTGGTCGCCGGCGGCCAGGTGCTCGCCCCGGCCGTCGAACTCGATTGCCGAGATCGTATCACCTGAAAAAGAACCGGATTATTATCCTCGCTCAGACGAGAGGCCAAAATCCCTGATGGCTTTCGACATAGCGTGAGAGTTACACGTACCGTCATCTTGGAGCGTGCCGTTGTCGTGGCCTTCGCCGGCGGCGGCGAGCGGCAGTTCGCCGAGCACCTGGGAGAACTTCCAGCTGGGAAGCTGGGACGGCGGCGCCTGAGCTTCCCGGGCGCCGGAAGGGAAAGAAGAGGAGGAAACGGGGGAGGGAGCTATGGAGGTCAGGCTCCTCCTCCTCCTGCCGGCGTTGCTCATCGCCGCGACCCGCGAGGAGCTCCTTCGTCGCAACGTATCATGTGTGGGCGTCGGCGCGTCGCGCTATTCGGCGCTGGCCGGGCAAGCTCAGTGCTAGTCAGTCTATCACCTCATCTTTGGTTCGTTTTTTTGGTTCATTTCTTGGCGATTATCAGAGGCGGCCTCGGAGCCACAGGCCTCGTCGTTGTGGGACCTGGTGGCAGAAAAGGCCACAATTTTGCGTCCAGTTCTGTACTTCTGTATGTACAATTCACACTTCGCACCACACAACAATGAATGAAATGAAGATATCCCAACTCCCAAGAAGCTGCTGCTCAGAGATTCTCATGGTAGAAGTAACTGTATTAAAGAATGAAATGAATTATATGGGATTACGAGTGGAGAGAAATATGAATGCTACTGTTACGGTTAGTTTCAACGATGAATAAGAAACAGCGTGGCAAAAATACAAGTGTACAACTGCTGCAAAAGAGATTCAGATACCAAGTGATGCGTAATGTTTGGGCGTTTGTGAGTTGCAGGGCAAAACTACTAACGACAGCCACACAATTTTGGTAGCACTCTGACAAAAGTCGAGGGAGCCGCAGTATTATTTCTCATGTTCCTCAAGTCGATGAATTAGCTGCTACACATTTACAAGCGTCTATTTCTGTAGGCCTATAGAGAAGACATTAGCCCCATCAAAATGGCTACTAATCTAGCAATGAGAAGACCGGAATTCCCTTTGCATTGAAACTTGAGCATTTCACAAGTAGTTCTTCTCCGACCTCAAAATCCTTGTGTCCATTTTCCTGCAAAGGTTTCAATGTCAGTGCAATGAAATTAAAATACATAAATAATGATACTACATTGTTATGTTTAGCTAAGTTTTTGTTATTGAGGGCAATGGATCCATCCGATCTGATATTGCATTGTCATGTTCAATACTGCAAATATGGAAACATAATTTCTTTCCTAACTATCAAAGATGTTATATGTATGCGATAGTCATATAGCAGTTCTTTTTCATATAATAGAAGGACAAAAAGGACAAGCAATGTGATATTAATATTGCAAATCCCGAAGCAAATTAACTTGCTCACTAGAGAGTTTAGGTATGAAATTACCGCAAATTTATGCATTCCACGAACTCCATCACTCAACTCAAGTACTAATCCATAGGCTCGTATCTGGTAGACCTTTGCTGTAACTACGTCACCCAGCTTCATAGACCCAGACCTGAAGTTTGAGGGACTAGAATAGTTCATGATGTTACTTTTATTTTGTTCTGGAATGGCATCCAGCACATCATTTGAAGAGTCAGCTTTTTCTTTCTTATTTTTCTTGGCCGTTGTTGATGCACCTGAAGTTTTCTTAGCACTAGTTCTCTTAACTTCCTGCCTTTCGCTGGCTGGTTTAGATAGCTTAGGAGATGACTTTGCAACCTTTGGGCGTTTCTTCTTAGGATCATTTGTAACATCTTGCGCATCACATTCAGCAGCACTTCGAATTATAACTGCAGGAGTAGAACACCCAGGTGTCTCCTCAATCATGTTGTCTTCGTCTTTGCTGATGGATGGTTCAGCATTAGCATCCTTGCTAGGCATGTTCTCTACAGCCGTCCAGCCAACAACTTCTTGACTTGGCAAAGGATCAGTATGATTACTTGCTAAATCCTTCTTTTCATGGGCATGGGGCAGGGTAGCTTTAAGAGAAAGTTTAATGTTACCCCTCAAGTCCTGTCCAATGCATGTCAATGAGAGCACTTGGCCAACAGATACAACATCCGAGACCTTAGACACCTGCAGGTAGAAGGGAAATAAAATGAGCACTAAATACATATATAATAAATACAACTGATTAAAAGCTGGTTAATCAGCATTTTAGCCAGTATGAATGCAATGAACTAATGGATCACTTATACTGTGAAACGTGATTGAACCTCTTCTTGTTGCTCAAGTGTGTTTGGTTAGAACAATAGTCTCATATCACATGGGTGACTTCATGAGATTGCTCTATGTTTCCTATGGCTTAATCTCATTGGCCATCATCTACTGTAAGGTGGATGATGGATCAACACTCATCCATGGAACTATTCCTCACATCCTCTATCATGACTACAACAATGTGGAGGGGGAAGATGATGATAATGATCATTCATGATTCTCATTCTTCAAACCATACAATAAATCAAGAATGATAAGTTTGGAGCTAAGAATCAAATGACCCTAGAACATCGATTCCTCAAACCCAACAACCCTTTAACAAACAAAAAAAAAGTGTATAGGAACTTTTATCATCAATAACATTGGTATCATGTTCAGTTGGAACTGCAATCATGTACTGGCACAAATTTGAACAAGATTAGCATAGTAAATAAAACACATGATAATAGACAGTATGTTCCATATATTAATATTACAGAGTTTTTAAGAGAAAAATACCTTATCATGTGACAACTCAGAAATATGAAGTAGACCTTGCTGTCCACCATTGAATTCCACAAAAGCACCGTACTCCTTTATTGAGGAAACAACACCTTTGTACGTTCTGCCAACTTCAATTTCACGACCCACAAGAAATTCTACCTGTAATGAGGTAGAAAAGTTAGAAATTTAGAATGGTCTGGGGTTCTTCCTCCCAGGCACTTTGTGTTGTACTCATATTTCAAATTTTATAGAACAGAAGATCATGAATAAAGTGCAAGCAAAGATCACAGACCCTTTCATAAGCACAATGAATAAATAGCATATTGTTGTATTGTTGATACATACCTTCTCGATAGCCTTATCCATAATTGGTTGGGTTTTTGCTACAATAGTGACTGTACCATCACTAACAGATACCCGTGCACCTTGAGAATATGGAAGATAAGAGTTAAAACTCAGCTGATTGAGAAAAATGTGAATAAAACAGAGTGCATTGTATGTTCATGCATTCAAATATGCAGGTTATCAAATACAAATTAGTGATGAAACATCATTTTTAACCTCAAGAGAAACTCCATTCTCACACAGACTGTAAATTTAGAACCTACATAAGCGAGGTCAAGAATAGAGAAATAAAATATGAATGCTTGGTAGCAAAATGAAACTCTACCAATATTTTATATTCATATTGTCGTGCAAAAAAAACAAACTCCTGAAGTTTTGAAAGATACAAACTTGCAACCATTCGATACTAAATTAAGTGACATTTTGACCCTTACATATGTCCATGGGCTATTCTTTATGAAGTTCTGATCCTTAAATATATCCATATGATATTCTTTCATCAAATCAATGTTTTTTTTTCTAAAAAAAAAGGTGCCGTTAAGCTCTGCAAAACACTTTTTTCAAACACTGAAACACCAAGTCATCACCAATCCGCATAAATTTATGACTTTATGGTACGACAATAGCCAGGATTTCCACTACGTTGATCTATCACTCTAGTGAAATGGCATGCATCTTTACTTTTAAAGAAGAGGGAGTTGGGCTACTCTACATCGTTTGTGGCTACAAACATATAGGCATGTGTGCATTTTTTGTAAGATGTTTACAGAAAAAAATGGCATATTTGCACAAGTATATGACAATATGTAGATGTTTGATTAGCATCATGTATCATGCATGCAACATCTGGATTTAGTATAATTATTTCTTTTTTGCATAATATATTTTGGACTATAGTATGTTAAGGATTCGTTGCAACGTGCAGACATGATGCTAGTTATTTCTTGAAAGAAGTTGCACAGGGGCTTGATACCTGTTTCTTGCTCAATTTTTTTCCTGTGGAAAAGCAGTTTCCTAAGAGAATCACTGCTGAAGCTCAGTGTAGCTGCAAATGGAGGGCAATTCTGGTGTTGATCAAGCAATGTTTGCACCAAAAAAGAACTCCTTAAAAGAACTAAACTATAAGTGCACTAACAAACCTAATCGAGGAGAGCTCCCATCATTAAAAGCACGTGCAGAACTTATTTCCTGGTCCATACGGTCAAGGATTTGATTTCGAGCCTTTCGTGCAGGTTCCAAACTTTCACATATTATGTCCAACGGTATTCCAGCAGGTTTTATATCCAGTTGAATAGCAGTAATACCTCTCCTTGTTCCTGCAATTTTGAAGTCCATATCACCCAAGTGATCCTCAAGACCCTGGGAAACATCAATGGCCATGTTCAGTTCAGCACCAACCAAAATATACAGTTGGATGAAAAAGGAATAGTTATTTATAAGGATTGATGGTAGAAATGGTATGCAACTATACTTACTAAAATATCCGTTAATATGCGATAACTAGAAATATCTCCAGTTGTCTGGTCCACTTCACTGACAAGACCAACAGAAACACCAGCCACATGTTCCCTTACAGGTATTCCAGCATCCATTAAAGCCATACTTCCTGTTGCCATTCAGATGAATGAAGATAAAAAAAAAGAAATATTAAGAAACAAATCAATATTTAAGCACTTTGACACTAAAAGGAGATTCATATCAATACTCAGAAGTAGATCCTAGGAACACAAAGAAGTTAACATAACCTAAAAAAATTCAAAAATATTTTTCAGGTCTCTGCTAAGAGTCTCTGACTACTGATCTAAAACTTTATCTTCTGGACAGTAGATATTATGAAGGCAATGGAGAATGGCTAGCTTGGATTTTCTATAGATGAAAAACATGGATCCGCATTCTATTACAAATGGTTGCAGTGTATAGCCTTTCAAACAAAGGCTTCTGCGAATGAGAGAATGAGAGAATTAGGGCCAATTGCTACCAGATAAAAGATACATAACGTTTTAAAAAAAATAAAAAAGGAAATAACAGGATCTAGTTACCACATGATGCCTCTTAACACCAAAATGGAAATTATATTAGTTCATTTTAACTTTGAAGTATACTAGGACAATAAAAGAGACAAATGAAATGTACCTCCACATACTGATGCCATTGATGTTGAACCATCAGAAGCCATGACTTCTGAATTTACCCGAACTGTATATGGAAATTCACCTTCTGGGGGAAGCACAGCGAGCAATGCTTTCTCCGCAAGTGTGCCTGCAAAGTGTTACAAAATAAATAGCTGTGCAGCTGACAACCATTTTGCTTTGCAAAATTACAATGCAAAATAAGATTGGAATATAAGAAGCAGCATGTAAAGGAAGAGCTATCAATGACTAGTCTAGATATAAAACCTTGTCACTAGATGGCATTCAGCAAATTGCAACAGCCAAAGTATCCCAATACAGACCAAATGCTTAAGCTTTAAACCAGTCCTCCCCACCAGCAGATAACCACTGCCTCTCCCAAAAAAACCAGTCCTCCCCACCAGCTGATAACCACTGCCTCTCCCAAAAAAACCAGGCGGTTGGTTAACTCACCAGCTGATAACCACTGCCTCTCCCAAAAAACCAGGCGGTTGGTTAACAAAAAACCAGTTGGATCTAGTGCTTTATGCTCGATCCACACCCTCAGCTCATCTCCCAGTCGTATGGGCCCATGCAACCCATCTGTATGGGCCCATGCAATGGGTAGGCGTGTTACTAGTTAAACTAACATAACACCATTACAACCACTGCAAACTCACTGAGGTCAAGGGGGATGACCCTCACTTTTGCTAAATTTCTAATTTATTAAGAGAACTACTGGTTTTTGCCACCTAACTGTGAAGTCTGTTACTTGCCAAGGACTCAACTATCTATTGTTCACTGGTCATTTCTCCATTTTTCAACACACTCTCTTACTGAGTACACGTACCCATTGCCAAGGACTCAACTATCTATTGTTCACTGGTCCTTTCTCCATTTTTCAACACACTCTCTTACTGAGTACACGTACCCATGTGAGACTAATCTCATCGTACCAATAGGCCACAATCCAAACATGACCTTAGTTGTTTGTCTAATACTTCAGGGTAATTAACTCACTAGTTCCTATAATCTGCACACAAACATAAACTAGACAATGTACCATGTCCAACTTCACGTCGATTCAAGCCCCCACGTTTCGCAACTTCATTTATTGAAAATGGTGGAAAGCTGTAGTGAAGCATGAAACGCTTTGTTGGAGGACCAACAATTGAATCCAATCGCTGAGCATCACCAGGAGCACCAAGGGTAACTGTACATAAAACCTACAAATAAAGTAGTCCATGTGGGTGGTCACTTTACTGGAAAACAAATGTTGCAATGTTCCTTCAATTTAAAGTGTGTGCGAGAGAACCTGTGTATCCCCACGTGAAAACAGGGCAGATCCATGCAATATTGGATATGTGCTGGATTCACAGTAGAGTGGCCTAACTTCATCAAGTTGCCTGCCATCAACTCTAAGTCCTTTCTCGATTATTCTTTTGCGTATAACCTGCACAAAAGATGGGCACAAATCCATGTCAACTGAAATAACAGAAGTGACTCTACATAAGAACATAACACTGAATAAAGTAATATCAGATTTTTGTCAAGGATAGCTAGTACATCTGGGATCTACAACACCAATAAATTATGTAGGTTGTGTAAATCTAGGCATATGAAGCAAACGAAGGCTCAAAAGGATGCATCAGGACTAGAAGTTTGCTTGTCTCAATGCAAAACCGGCATGCTAAGTTTAAAGTGCTAAACAATGAGATTTGTTATACACTAATGTGTTGGATACATAAGTTACAGACTTGCCAAAGTTTATAATTTCTGTTAAATCATAAAGAAATAAAAGTGCTCTGCTATTTCTGTTAGCATGACCAGGTCATTCCAAACTTGTAAGTTTCGATGCATTTAAATTGGATGTGATAAAATCATTCAAGCAGGAAAACTAGATGTGATAAAATCATTCATGCAGAAGGGCAAAAGGTCGAATAATGACATCAGCCATCGCGCATTGCAAAATCAGGATATATGTTAGCTGTATATGTACAATAATAAGTTGACCGACATGCATGCATTTGATGTCCATCAGTTGCCAAAAATAGGTTTTTCCCTCCATTTGCAAGGCTTTAACCAAAGCAATTAGTGTGCACTACCTGTTTTCTCACTGTATCAACTGCCTTGTGAAGAAACTTCAAGCTGTCCTCATCGCATTCTTCTTCAAGCTTTGCTTTCACAGATTGTGTAATATTTTCCAAGGCTTCTCCTCGCTCAAACTGCAGAAAGAAAAATACTCAGTGAGTTCATGTTGTAAAGAAAAAGTAAAGTTTGAAACATGTTACATTTTGCTTCTCAAACAAAAGACAGGGCATAGAAAACAAATAGTGGTGGCTTGAATTCATACAAAATGGTCACAATCGAGCATTTTATTTCCCCTCCACATATTTTTTAAGGAAGAGTACAGATAACATATAATCACCTTGCCGTATGTTGAATCAGTGAAGACTTCTTCAATGGGTGCTTCTGATAATGTTCTAATTTTCTCATAGGATTTATCTGAAATCAATGAGATCTTGTACTCTTTCTTCTTTTTGCCAGCTCTCTTAGCTAATCTAAGTTGTGGGTTGATGCATTTAACTGCCTGAGAATGTGAATCAATTCATGAGGATATACTTACAATAGAGCAAGAATATGAAGATAAAATAATACCTCAGCGTGTGCAAGTTTCATTCCTGCTTGAAGATCCCTTTCAGTAATCTCACGAGCTTGCACATCTATCATTAATGTTTTATCACGAGAACACGCATAAACAAGGTTGAGGTCACTCAAACCTAACTGCAAAACACAGTTAAAGTAAAGTAAATACAACATGAGACAGCTGAAAAAAAATTCTAGCAATGTAGACCACATTTGAATCATATATGCTGATGGAGTTGGTCGTGCTACACAAAAAGACCAAAGAGAATCAAATAATTGTATGCATCTCCGTAACTGGACCAGTGCAATGACCAATATCAATACTCCTGAGATACATCGCATCCACAGACAGTACATTTCACAACACCATGGGAACAATTTATGGAGGACAGATCAGTGCAATTCCATGTGGTACTAATCGATCAGTATATACCTCATCCACCGTTGGGTTCAGCACAAAATTTCCATCAATTCTTCCTACACGAATTACTCCAATTGGTCCATTCCAAGGTATATCCGATAGCATTAATGCAGCTGAAGAGGCATTTGCAGCCATCACATCTGGGTCTTGTTTTCCATCCGACGATATAACATTTACCATGATCTAGAAAAGCAGGATGTTGCTAGGTAAATAAGTTAAGGATTTTACAAAAACTTTACACATGTTAAGAACCAAATAATAGTAGCATTCATTACCTGGACTTCATGGTAAAATCCAGGAGGAAACAATGGTCGTATTGGTCGATCGATTATACGCCCACATAGAAGCTCCCTTTCCTTAGGGGCACCTTCCCTCCGCATATATGTTGTCGGAATAACACCTTGGGCATATTGTTTCTCTTGATAATCAACCTGCATCATGAATAATAAACAAAATATCTATTAGGGCAGAGAACAAAATGGAGCTAAAAAGATGCACAAAATACAAGACAAGTGATGTCTTTAAAATGTGAGCACGTCAATATTTGTTTTCAATATTGAATTCGTCATTTCCTCAAATAAGTTAAATAAATGGAAGTTGTCGATGGGTATCAGCAGCTGTAAGAAAGGCCCAAGAACAACCAAAGCTTCTCTTTTGCATCCCACCTCAAACTAAACACCCTTCAAACCAACGGCGAGGATTACAAATGGCATTTAGCATCAGATTTTGACTTCCGCAGTCTCTTAGTGATACAAAATTGATTCTAGACAGAGCGATCATTAGCCAAATTAACTATATAATACTGCAAATCAAAACCTGCTAGTGAAAGTTTCCCAATCAAATTCAACGCTCTCTAAAACTCCATAACACGGTAACCAGGTTGGAAAATGGGGATCCGTACAGTCAGTGGGAGGAAGTCCCGGACGGGTTCGGAGGACTTGGCGGCGGCGACGGTGGAGAGGACATGGGTGTCGTCCATGGAGATCACGACGGAGCCGTTGGCGAAGCGGGCCATCTTCCCGGTCTCGAAGGAGATGACGCGCCCACCGATCTCGAACTCCTCGCGGAAGCTCTCCAGCACCTTCCGTCCCGGCGGCGGCGGCGGCGGCGCGTCCGCCTGCGCGACCTCCTCGGCCGCGCCGGAGAGGAACGCCGCGCGGCCTCCCGGGACGGAGAGCGGCGCGGGGAAGCGGGCGCGGCGGCGGCCGCCGCGCGCGAGGAGGCGGAGGGAGGCCACCGCCATCGACATGGTGGCCGCGCGCCGGTGGAGGGGAGGAGGAGGAGAGGGGTTTTGGTTTAGGGTTTAAGCGAGGCGAAGGCGAAACGGCTGGGCCTTGGTTTTTTCACACCGTATCTATGGGCCCACGTATCAGCGGGAGAATCGGCCACATCTTCTCCAGCGCGCCACCTCCCCGCGATCTGGACCGTACATGGAATGATCGACGGCTGGGAATGGTCATGGCGTGTCAAAACGCAGAACCCACCGCCGCTTCGGCGCAGTAGAGGGCGAGGCGACGCCTCCCGGGCCCCGGCGGCGGTGAGCTCCTTCTCATGACCCAGGCGGTCGCCGTGGGCCGTGGCCCAAGGTTGGTGATGAACGCTTTTCTTTTTTGAGAGTTCGTAATGGATCGCCTTCCAGACGAGTTCTTGAATTGAATTCAGTTTTTGCGCTAAGATTGCCTGCTAAGGCAGTTAAAAAGTTATTTGGATCAAGCGCTCAGTCATAACTCGGCGGTGTGTGGACAGAACAGATTGTCTGATGAACCATGAGTTCCTTTCGACACTTAAGGCTGTTGTTGGCCCGATCTTTCGGTGAGTTGTGATAACTACGATTTGGGAGAAACGTTGACGATTCGACTACAACCGTACGAGACGTTGTGTTGCGCCTTAGCGATCAATACACCTCTCCGTGGTTTGTTGATCTTGCCGGTGCAAATCAACCTTATTCCTGCAAGCAAATCGAAGAAACAAGCAAGAACAAGATAAAAGCAATCTGAATTGTAAATAGGAGTTAAATACGAATGATAAGTTGGGGTTCCGAAGAACAAGCAGACGGACGGTCTAGCCGACACGCGCGCTGCAAGCAAGTAGCAATGGCTAAACTTTAATCTATCAAAACCCAATAAACTGTAAAGGGGTACCTGACTATTTAAGGAGGTGGGAGGACGACCTAAGGGGACCCTAGGGTCGTGCTCCACCTGGTTGGGGCGCACCCCACATGGGCCCCACTTGGGCCGGGGTCCCAGACGAAGTTACAAGCCCATAGGCCCATTATAGGTGACGCAGCACCTTCTTTTTTGATTTCGCCCGACTGGGATGGAATTTGGCGATGAAGCTGGATCCATTGGAAAGATGACTCCGAGAGCTTTCCATCAAGTACTCATGGACCCAAAATGGAGCTCGCATGCATATTTGGCGGCCGTTTGAAGTCGACACTGTAGCAGGTGGCCGAACTGGATTGCAGAACTTGGACAGCTTGATCTTGATGTGAACGACGGTTGTATCTATAGTAGCCATGGTCACATCATCCTCCCCTTCTTCACGGAAAACCGTCCTCGGTTTTTCCATATGGTGCTCTTCGTGTAGTCCATTTAAAACTACCTGTTTCTTCCAATCACAACAAGACAAACTCGAGATAATTTTGTTAGCAATAACATTTCTCTCTAGATTGCATGTTTTATCCACATGTACAGGAGGTTCTAAATCTGAACAGATGTAAACTCTATGCACCAAATATATTCCTCTATCATTATATTCACCAAAGAGATGAAAAATAGCGTTACTTGGACATGGAAAATCAAACTTAGCAAATAATTTCTCCTTCAAATTATCGAGCTCATGAAAATCAGCAAACTGAACATAGCCCAAAGTATTTAAAGAAGATGTCAATTAACGTTCCTCTACTCTATTAGCAATGTGAACAACATGCTTAAAATCAGCGCAGTTAGTATTAACAACAGGAATAGCATGTCCATTCACTAGTTGTGGCATGGATATAAGTGAAGCATTATCGCACAACTCTTCTTTATCACAAGGAACAGCAAGTAAATCAACTTGTGACAAAGGCAACTCAGCAATTGATTCCACTAATGGTTGCTCTACTATAGCATGAAAAGTGGACAAGTGTAGCTCACCTTGAGAATACTCACCTTCATTTCTCTCAGCACCATTTAATTTACCTTGCGAACTTTCTTCAGACTTCGCAGGTGCTTCATCCTCTTTCTTCTCAAGTATACCATTCTCCTTTTCTTGGATGTGCTAATCTTCCTGCAAAACGTTAGTAACAGGGGAGACAAAAGATTGCTCCTCCAATGTTTGCACATCATCATTACATAAGTATATTGGGGATTCAGAAATAGGAGATAAATCACATTGGTCATGCATCCTCGCCTTTGATATGATCTGACTCTCAATGCTACGAGCAAGCATGAATAGGTGTCCAATATGATTATATGTCACATTATCAAGCAAAACCTGAATTTCAGAATTAAGCCCATTGAAAAATCTACGCATTGTATTTTCATTGCACTCTTTGTGATCACTGTAGATGATACAAACCTTAAATTCATGAATGTACTCCCTAACAGTTCTGTCACCTTGTTTCAGATGTTCTAATTTCTCCCGAAGAGTACATTTGTAATAAGATGTCACAAAGCGTTTTCTCATCATGGTTTTCAATCCATCCCAAGTTTCAGGTTTATTACTAACATAAGTCCACCAAAATAATGCAGAAGAGGTAAACTTATTACTAGCAGCCTTAATCATTTGAGCATCAGAAAAATCATATATATCAAATTCATTGTCTACTACTAGCTCCCAATCAATGTATGCAACAGAATCATACTTCCCATCATAGAATGGTAACTTAGATGCAACTTGTTCAAAATTATAGTCATGTACCTCATATGCATCACATGGAGAAGTCGTCATATCTCGTCGAAGGTGTAGAAGTCGATGTTCTCGTATTCCCTTACACAATCCTACCATGGTTAGTAGCAAACAAGAAACACACAAAAATATGCACGCTCCTATCAACTACTAGGTAGTGGCAGCTCAAATATCACACACACTCAAGCTTTTAACCAAGCTCTTACAAGTTCTTACTAAAGCAAGCGGAATGGTGATGTACACCGACTTAACCAAGCACCCCAATGGAGGTTGGATGTATCGATGCCTTGGCAAACACTTGCTGTACGGCTGCAATCAGATCTGTGGAGCTCTGGGTAGGCTTAAATATGTAGCAAAGGGATAGCAAATGCTCAAATGAGAGAATGCAAAGTTGAATAATGGTTCAAAGTCAAGTACCGTGCTGGTCCTAGGCTAGAACGTACTAGAGACGCGAGCCTAGACACAAACGATACCACAAAATAGCACTAGGAACAACTCATGCACAACTCTGATATATGAAGTTCAGCTAACTCATAACAGTATTTTCTCTTTTCTTTCTTTCTTCTTTCTTCTTTTTCTTTTTTTTCTTTCCTTTTCTTTTTCTTTTTTTTTGTGCGGCTTTTTTTCTTTTTTTTATGCACCTTTCTGCCTTTTTTTCTCACTTTTTTCTTGATTTTTTTAACAAAAACTGACTCAAGGACCTTAATGTAAGGTTACAGGGACTCAAACGTAAATATAAAATTTACAGGGACTCAAATGTAAAAGTCTAAACCCAAAATTAAAATTATACAAAAATGGAATGCTCTGAATTTATGCCGGTTCCGTTTTTCCAAACAGATCTCGAAACCGACACCAAACAAAAAATTCACCAAGGTGTATGGGATGGCACGGTGTAGATTGAACCAAAAGGAAAGGAGAGGGAGTCGGACTCAAGGGGGGAATGCCGCATGGAAGGTGGTGGGACTCGGTGAGAAATCTAAAAGAAGGAAACCGATTCCTTTTCTGCGTGGCCCCCAAATAGAAACGAAAGCAATCTAATCTAGTCTAATATTCTCCTTCTATCTTCCTCATGCGCATCTTCTGCTTCCTTCTTCTTCACGCGCACATGCACGGCAAAAACAAACACACACAAGGATCGGCAAACTCTAGATGCAACTCAAGAACTCAAAACTAACCGACAGAAACTTCTGAAAACTACAAAAATAGAACCGTGGCAGCGAGCCGATTCCGTTTTCGTAGGTCCCGACAACAACAGAGACACGGTGGCAGCGACGACTGTGGTACAAAACGTGACCAGAACTCGAAACTCTAAACGAACTAGACGCTAAGACCAGCAACACGACGTGACGATGCAACACAAAATTCAACAAAGTAAAAACTGAAAAGAACAATGCAATGGCACAATATGGCTAGGTAAATGATACAAATTTTTTTGTATGGCTATTTTCTAGTTATAGGAAGATAAAAACTCACCGAGCAACGAAAGCTCTGATACCACTTGATGAACCCTGAGTTCTTTTCGACACTCAAGGCTGTTGTTGGCTCGATCTTTCGGTGAGTTGTGATAACTACGATTTGGGAGAAACGTTAACGATCCGACTACAACCGTACGAGACGTTGTGTTGCGCCTTAGCGATCGATACACCTCTCCGTGGGTTGTTGATCTTGCCGGTGCAAATCAACCTTATTCCTGCAAGCAAATCGAAGAAACAAGCTGACGGAGCTCGAGGCTCCTCACCGGGAGACCGCGCAGGCCCCCCTTTGCCGGTTCGGCCGGGGGCTTAGGGTGCAATCTCAAGCTCTCTCTCAAAAATTTAACTGTATGTGGAAAGATTACTCCCCGGCAAGACACACGAGACACGGCGATGTATACAGGTTCGGGCCGCTGCGAAGCGTAATACCCTACTCCTGTGTTTTTGTGGATTTGTGTATGAATGAGCTACAAAGTGTGAGCCCACTTCTCCCCCGCTCTAAGCTCTAAATCTGGCCAGAATCAACCCCTTCTCTATGGGCAAGGTCCTCCTTTTATACTTCAAGGGGATACCACATGCACCCTTCCCTTTCCAAACTGGACTGTTCTTTTTTTCTTTAATGGGCGGAGATTGGTATGGTTGTCGTCCAAATGACACTTCGATGGGACAACTCACACCTACCTCCACTCCCGGCGGAGACGGGCGCAACGTGAGATCGTGGCTGCCCGTTGCTGATGCGACCAGTGTCAGACCGGTCATTCTTGTCCACCACGCGTCAGTTTAACAACGTGCACGTTTGCCCTTTTTCGTGTAACACCTTGCCTGTAATGGTTAGGATGAAGCCTGGTATAAATCTAACCAGGGCTAACGTGCCATCTCTAAGAAATAACACGCTTGCTCCGGCTTGAGACGAGTGCCTAGAGGCTTTCGTCTTGATGGGATGGGGC